ATCTTCATCCATTGCGCCCGCTTGTGGTTGAAGCTGTGCTTCCCAGATAAGTGAAGGAAGAAATCTTTGTTAAATCTCACCCGTTGATGGTGACTAGTGCTGGTTGTTGTTGGTGGTGGTGGTTAGGTGGTTGGTTATCTCCATCTTCTCTATGTCCATCTGGAGTCCTGTCTTCACTGCCTGCCAGCCTCTTCTGTCAGTCTTTTGGTTTTCTCCAGTATCGGATAATTTTATTTACTCAAATGCACAATATTATTTACTAACGAAGTTTCAATCACAGTTTGACCAGCGGTGGAATCCAGGATGTGCATTTCATCCTATTTGAGATTTGCCTGCTGACCCTACCTTCATACCCTGTAACTGATGGTACTGCCATTGAAACTTAGACTTTACACCTATCGTTTCAAACGCCAAAGCAGTGGACTGTCAATTGAATGTATTGGACTGGAATATTCGACCTGTGTTGACATTTAAACTTACAGTACAAACTCTTCAAATGATCAGCATTTCGCTCACTATCGTAATTGTATTACCAATACAAACGGAATTTTCAAATATTGGTTTTGTAGAGATTTTGTTTGGTCGCATGGAGGATTTCGTCATGAGCTGACATCAGTTAGAGTCCTAAACTAGGACGAAACAGCTACCAGTACTCCCAGGTTTTCCAGTGGTTCTCTAACTAATGCCAGCTCATGCTGAAATCCTCCATGCAGTCAAACAAACAGAATTATTATGCGTAACTCTGTATATCTGTCCTAAAATTCGAAAATCACCTCAACTATTTTTGACAGTGTTACATATGATTATTGTATACTGAGATGATTTTGACATGTTTTGTGGGAATTCGATACAATCATTATGACGAATACAACGAGTTTGTGATCAAATACAAATTTACCTAACTGTTTGATAAGATTTATATATATATATATAGTTTTGATGTAAACAGTCGCTTTCATCACTTGTTTCAACCTTCAAAAATATTATGACTGATAAAAGTGAATGATTGGAAAACTTGTCAAAATGCTAAATGATACAAATTGATGACGCTTAATAGTGAAGTTGTTCATTGTGGTAAAAAAATTCTTCTCTGGACAGTATACGCGCCTATTTTGTAAACAAAAGCGGTTAATTATTGAACATTGTGTGTGCGTGTGAGGTTGGATGAGTGTTCCACACACTGATGATCAAAATGTCACTCATCTACCAATATGTACATTTTTTTGATGAATTTATAAATGATACATAACAATAGTTTTGACGTTTTAAAAATAAAACTGAATCATTCAGTGTATACAGATATCGAGGAATTCTGTACAAACAGACTTGCTGTTCCCATTAACCTTTTTAAAACACTGCACACTCGTATTGAAGTATGAATACAAGTATAGGCCAACGATGGATATACTACTGACCCGGGCCTGCAGTATAGAACTAATCACACCAGTTTGCAGATCCTTCTAGATAGGTTTCAACTAAAAAATAATAATAATACAATCAACTGTTCACTGTGATTGTTTTAATTTCTGTCGTCAATTCCGAGAAATTCGGTACATAAAAAGTCATTATTTAGGACACTTTTCGCAAGTAATTCTGATGATAGAATTGAAGATAGATGTGGTAACCACGAAACAATGACATCAGAATACATGAAAATCAATTATTGTTTCTGGTGAGCATTGGATTTGCTCCAAGCTTGGTTTCTCAACAGAATAAAACAATCCAGAAAACCACTGATAACTAAAGCACCCTAGATAGCTATTTTGTTTTAATTTTGAACTTTTGAAGTTGAACCCAGTAAACGTCAAATCATGATGAAAGCTTATTTACACTCAGCCGTCTTAACCGAGTTCTATTGGCTTACAACTTTCCAGCTTCAATAACTCAGACACTGTTATTCTGCGTTACTAGTGACTAAATGTGCAATACGTTCGAGTTTATGGACCTCTTGGAATAAAACTGCTGATCAGAAACCGAAAATTCCAATTCAAAGCTACTTTTACTGCCAGTTCAAATCTGTAATCCGTTGATAATAGTGTACTTAGGTTGAATTTTTGAAACGGTGATCAGTTTACCGATGACTTCTAGTCCAATATGGGAAACCTTTTTTCTCTCAACCTTATGCATCTGTTTTTCTACAACCTCGAGCTCATCTGAATGTGATTCAACTTGATCGATTGGTAAAGTTATGCGTACTCACTTGTAGGCTATGACTAACTAGAACTTACATGCCTGCCCAGAACGGTGGTAAGGAGGACTGTGTGCAAACCATATAAGGCTGATTCAAGCTTAATAATGCATAAATTCGCCTAGGCTGAACAACAGATTTGTGTATCATCTCGCAGATATGTGCTCATAATATTAATAACTGACCTGATCTGACCTTTCTCACCTTGAACATTATGGATGTAACTGATCTAACTACAGAACATTATTTCGTTGATTCTTTCCATTTTTGAGGGTCTGGAAGTATTCTGTTAACTAATTGTAAAATATAAATTAACTTTAATAGCAGTGAAGTAATTCAATCTTTGCCAACTTTGCAAAACTCTGCTCTTTGTATATAGATCAGTTACTAACAATATTGGTAATTCCTGTTTAATTATACAACCCCTATTGGCTGACTTACCAGCATGAAATGTAATAAGAAAATCGTATTGGTTAAAGACGCCAAAAATTGAAATGAAACTACAATAGACGAAGGTGTGCAACTGAGAAAATAATTAAAAGCAGAGAAGTGATGATTTTGCGAATCCAGAAGGTGATACAGAGTGAATACCTTTGAGCCAGTGTAAATGATTTCCAACGATATCAAATAGTCTCCAGCCTCGCATTTTTAATGTCTCAAATCCTCAATTAGACAGTCCACTTTTCTGTGCATGGCTTACACCAACTATCTATTTATTTTATTTATTTTTATTTTTGATTACAACTTGATTCCACACTGTATGCTTGGTACAAGTATAGAATTTTCAGCATGGGGTATCGGTAGCCCAAATTTTGCAGGCTGACCATAGTATGAGGTGTGCGTCGGCAGGGGATCGAACCTCAGAGCATGTGCATGGTCGGCGAGAGTCCTAACCTCTGATATTATGAATCTCACAACACGTTTTATTCTGAAAATGACTAACTCCGTTTTAGTCAGCATTACTTGTCAATGAAGGCTGTGACTAGACATGTCTAACACCTCAGTCAAAGAATTTTCACAAAGCCTTAGACTGACTTCTCCTCCCTATCTAACAGGCTGCGCCTAACCACATTTTCACCTATCATATCACCCTACGCACAGTCATCAAATGAAAGGAGACACTTATAATCAAAAACTTCGAGTGGTTTTACACCTAACAACCTGAATGCTCGTATCTCACAGTTGAAAAGTAGGATAGAGAAAATTGACGAAAAACACACACCACTTGATGCCCCCACCAAATATGAGGGATGTTTAAAAATCACAGATAGATCTTTTTAACTGCTCTGAGATCACTAGTCCATTAAGTCTGATGTAACTTCCCGAACAGGTTAGGTCGTGTCTATACGTTTAGTTACCGTAACCTCTATTCTAAGAGCATCAGTGTGTGCGCGCCACTCCTGAATCATCATGTTCCGTCTGGCAACGTGAGTTGTTGAATACTGAACATTCTAAGGCTTCTGCTCAGGTTGTTGAGAAGACTCTGCATTTTGCCATCACTTTCACCTAGAAGAAGTATATCATCTGCATACTCTAAATCGATAGGACTGTTACTCGGGAACAAGTCACTCTTTAAGTCACTAAAGTATATCAAGGTCACAATTATCAAAACATTAGTGAAATTATATAAGAATGATGACAGTGTAAACCCTTAACAGACATTACGTAGTATCCGCGCAAACACTACTTTAAATATTTTGTTAGTTACAGTGTTAGGCTTCAGTAGATAGTTTGATTTTTAGTTGGGTACAGAAGCATACTTAATATCCCTACTGTTATTATATTAACTTAATAACTAATAAAGTCTTATGTTACTTAGTATTGAAAGGCACATTACGGTTTTTCAAACTTAAGCCAGGAAAGAAATGAAGTGTTAGCCCTCCAAGATTTAGATGATTAACTACATGTTTTAGTACAGGATCGATTAGACATACACACACTGAGGGTATCGCAAGACATCAAGCTCCAGACCTCCAGTGGAATCTGAACAGGAAACGATGTGCTGGGCGTATGTCCGAGGGTGACATGGAGGAGATCGTATAAGGAGAAAATGAGTGCGTATTGGCAATCATGTAGCCAGCTAAATAGGACTGCAGAGAACACGATGAAGTGGAAATATGGTAGTGAAGCCTTGTTTTCTGACTAGGAACCATAATAATAATAATAATTTAATACAGATAAATAGAAAATCCAGTCAAGAGATGATTACTGAATTCTTAGAAAACATTTAATAAAACGCAGATGTCAGCAGTCTATTTTTGTCTCTAGACAACAAGTATTTTGCATATTTCACATAAAAAATCCAGATCGAAATTCATCAGTCTATTAGGATTGTTAATTTGTAAAGGCGATAGTAACTTCTAGTCGTAAACCTGAAGGAGACATAGAATTTACTTGTATAACTTATTATGGCGGAGGTAAAGTATAGCAGTCTCCCAAAGAGACCTTACCCCTGATCTGGAGCAAATAACCAGAATTAAGGACAAAAAATGTCGTGATTCTATTCTCTAATTTACAGTGAAATTCCAATCCTCTCAAAACACCCATTACCCTGCGAAATCTTCCCCTGAATATACATGCTATAGTCATTGCAATTATCTCCTTTTTTATACAGTAACCAAACACTCGATCTTCCTGAAACTAGTTAAGCTAATCTAGAACAGAAGGCTGTTCCACCTGGGTAACTCTAATTGGTTGTCGAAAGTAATACGGCTACTATAGTTTACCATGGCGTTCATGAAATGCAAAAAAGTCACCATTATTTCAATAATGAAAATAAAGAATCAATTATGTAATAATAATAATAACTTACTATTATTTTCTGTTTCAGCTGCACAACACAAGTAAATTACATTGAATAGTGTAATGATATGCAGGATTATGAATGAAGTATGTTCAATGTTCAACATTGTTACTTTTTTACTTTTTTTATACAAATATGTTTTTTTTTAGTACTTAAATTAACTGCTTTTTATTCTTCTCCATTTTGCATCATTTTATTATTATCAGTATTAGATAAATTTATTCCAGATAGAAGTAAACGGATTATTCAGCAATGTTTTGTTTTAATGTTTTAATGTAACATTGTTATTACTAGAATAAATTCAAAAAATGTGAGGATGATGATTATGATAATAATAACATTAATAATAAATAAGCCAGATTTTCTTTGGAAAACAAATAAGCCATACACATTTCTGTGTATGTGATTTTCACTCTATCGGATACATTTGTTATATATTTATAAATTAACGAACTGTAAAAAGAAAATCTTTAAATGCAACAACAGCAACAGTCTTCTTGTTAAGCTGAAAGACTGACTGACTATTCAATATACAATGCTGTACAAACATGAATTATTTATATGTAGGTATTATTCGTATATGTTGTAGGCATACTTTACACTAATATAGTATGTGTGTCCACGTGCAATTCTATGCATACATAGTCTGGTAGGTAGGTAGGTAGTGTAGAGACACCCATACACATTAGTCCAGACACTCGCAACTACTACATACATATAAGTGGATAGTTACTGCAGTACATGAATACAAACTCACTTTTTGTTCTTTCTCATTCTTATACCATTAACCAACCATTTCTTATGATATTAATAATACTAATAAACATCTCTATCTGGATAATATTAAAACAGATAGGGACAGAGAAACACAATGTGAGAAGGAAGGCGACAGAAAAAGACAGAGAGTGTTGTGATTAAAGGAGAGACATCCATAGATCTGAAGAAAACAAGAAAGAGAAATAAATAAAGAAATACGCCAAAACATGCCAAAAAATTCTTTTTTTTTCTTTTTTGAGTCGTTTGAAAGTGAAGAATACTTCTAGGATCATGTCAAAATGTAAACATTTTGATGTCGCCAAATCTGATTAAAATGAACACTGATCTGAATGTAAAGATTAGTTCACAGTCTTCTATTTGTTGTCGTCCTTATTTACACTTCTCTCACCTTCTTCCTTCCTTCCTACCTTCCTTGTCAGTCATACTCAATTGTACTTCACTTCAAAACTTCATGTTCATCTTTTTATATATTTATACCTGTTCATTATTATGATTAAAAACGTGAATGAAATTAATAATCTCTTAAAATGTAAATAAACTAATCACCTTGTCATTGTGTATACTGACATATCCACAAGTACACATGCCTCTATCATACCTTAATGCTTATTATTAATTACTGAAACGTGTCACTAAATAGAAACATGAGTAGTAAGTAGCACACTAAATATTAAGTGATCACAATAATCTTATTTTAAATGTAACGTTAGAAGGAAAATCAAAATTGGCGGGAAAATATGAAGCAAATTAACTAGTCAAATGGTCTGGCAAAAAATGCATAATGTCCAACTATGATCACGGTTCACTTTCATTTTGGCTTAATCATGTTCATGTCCAGACTAATATAGATTATTATTTAAAATACAAGCTACTTAGTGACTTTCACTTAATAACCCTCTTTTTTAAATGAAAAACAATGACAGAAGGATGACACATTATCCGACGTATCTGTCACTTAATTATATTTGAACAAAGAAAGAAGAAACATTGGCACAGAATAATCTGGATCCATCTTATTTCGTTGGTTCTCATCAGCTGCATACAACCTGAATATTTTTAATAACAATAAAAAGTGTACAATTTTAACAAACCTTTGTCCATTATCAAGCATACTGTCAGAGCGTCATAGTAAAATAAAGCGTTGAGGTTGACAAGGTGTCTAAAGTGTTACGACATACACAATATATATATATATATATCTTGGTAGAGAGAAGTTTCTTGAAAAAAATTTTACTAACTGTTGTGTTGTTGGGGTGGTAACAAAAGAAAATTAGCAATAGTTACGTAATTAGATAAGAGAAGATCAAAATTTTACAATTTCGGTGCACATGAGGTCAGATGAGAAGTCGATGATGTAATGCAGTGAGCAGAACTCAGAAGATTAAGAAAAATTGCCTCTTAAGAGAGTCAAGCGAAAAATAAAGGAGAGGGGGGGAGTGAAAAGATAAGCTGACAAAACTGGAAAGCAAACAGTTACTAAGAGATGAGTCATCAGGATAATTGAAGTCCAACAACGGAATCTTTTTGGACACATAAATCAGGCTTCAATCGTTTTATTGCTATAGCTTGAGAAAACCTAAGAAGACTTGAGGTACTTTGTCTGTTAATTATTTTGAATGATTCCAGTATCTGCGGGAACAGGCAGGAGGGCCTACGTCAGATTCTGCGAACATGTACCAAGGAGCCTCCGGTTAAAGGGGCTGAATTGTTTCAGCTGTTCAATCGCCAAACACCTGATTGACACAGGACACCGAGTAGATTTATGCTTGACATACTTAATTATATGATAAAATGTTAAGCAACTCAGGAATGAGGATGAAGTTCATTATTTAAAAGTTATATCCCATTTTTCTATCGTTGAAGAGTCCAGTTAGCAAAGACGGCAGAAAACAAAATGATTTCTGTATCATATTAACAAGTGGTTAACCCGGGAGAAATTATTTCCTAGTCATAAAACGTTCATAAACGAAGGGGAAAACTTCATGTTACCAATAAAAAAAAAACACTTTTAACTCATCTATTTATTTTAAGCTGATTGTGTTTATCATTCAGTGAATCATGGAAACTAAAGAATTAGATCGTAGCTGTTATGTTTTATTCCTTTGAAGAAACAATAATACTGTACAGTTATATGATCATTACTGAGTAATTTATGCATATCAGTGAATACCCTGTTTCCACGGAAACTTCATTTTCATAGGTAAAGTTGAAGTAATCTGTTCTTAGAAGCTCACCAACTGGTGAACAGTAAACTTTTATTTAACTGAAAGGTTTTCTCTGGAAATTTGACTGATATTACAGCACTGTTTGATTTTTCATTGATTTCTTTAACAGCTTAAATAGTAGATTACTTTTAAACACCGCCTTCAGCAATTCGACTGTAGATTCAGTAGGAACTATACAATTTTTTTTCCGAACTGATATGAGGTAGGGAATTATTAGAAACTAAGGAACAGCTGACAACAAATCCGTCCACGTTTGGAACTTTTCAAGAGTGACTACTTACCATCCCACCATGGATCGTATCTTAAAGCTCCCACCTGAGGTCGTGGATTCATACACTTGGAACATCCAAACATCGGCAGAATCAAGTGTCTCTTGTTCCTTGGCTTTCAGTAGTTCTGTGAATGACTTTGGTTAATGGCAAGATTTACCCTGAAATCACTTCAACTTCTTCAACTTATCAATGCAAACTTTAAAACAATGTACCGATAAATTACCACAGTTTAAAGCTCCTTCATAAACCAATTACTGATATAATATCAACAACAAAATCCGCCAATAAAGACGACTGAAGGTAGCTTACATACTGAAAGAATGCGATAAATATTTTATACGTACGAGAAATGCTTTTCTTTTAATTTTGATTGTGAACTTATTAATTACCAGAAATTAATAGATAATAAAATGAATAAACAAGGTATGATTCCTTTCTAATGTAAAGATTTTATTAATCATCGTAGGTGTTGAAAGTGGGCTGTTCATATGTGGATTAAAAACACCGACTGAGTCTGATTCAATTTTATCTCAGAGTCCTGACTAAATGAATTTTGCTAATGTGTACTGTCTCAGCTGTTTCTTTAAATTCGTGAGTTGATTTTTTATGATTCTGAATCTACAACACTGGTTTATTTTATTTCACTAATTCAGTGTAACATTACAGCACTATTATTTTTTGCTTGAGTTTCTAGCGGAATATAGGTTGTCGGTGGTACATCTCCTTTGCATTCAACCCCCTGCAGTCATGTTCAACTGGTTCCACAACTGCCTACAAGCTTTGGTTTCTTCGTCATATGATCTCCTCCAAATCACCCTTGTATTCACACTCAACTCACCAGTTACCATTCAGATTCCACTCAGGGACACCTGGTGTGTAATGTGATTTGAATGTCTCCATAGCATAATTTCAATCCACATCTAAATTCCCTTCTGCATTTTATTGAGTAATAGGTTGATTGACTGATTCTCTACCTGAACTCCTTGTCGTATATATCCTCCAGCTGTTTATTTGATCTTCGCTATCAAGCGAAGGCGTTACTTGATGAAGGTCTGCACCAGCCTGTTAGACAGGATTGCGATGTTGTGCTTGCCAAGTCTTTGAACCATAGAGAAGCGCTGTCATGATATTGATGTTCCTTGTTTCTTCTGCCAATTGCTGTAGATATGCAAGCTGATTTCAGATTAAAAGACGCCTATTAGCTACTCCTGACATCTTCACCCGTACCACCTGTTTTACAACAATTCTACTTGAGATGAGGTCAGAAATCTGCCACTGATGGTGATTGGTGTTTGCTGTTCCTCGAAGGTGTTCAGTACCTTTCTCATATCTGTGTCTACATAAATTAGTTTTTGCACAGAAGTGATACTTTCTAACGAATTCATTATTATTATAAGTTTTTATCAGTTCACCTGCCCCCCTGGAGTTAGGTGTATAGGTCTTCTGACGTGAGTGTCGTCCAAAGGGTGTAAGAACACTATCTTGAGTGATTATGACTTGACTTTAAGAGCAAATGTCAGAACCCATCGTTGAATGATAAAAGCTGTAGGCCAGTAATTTATTTGCTCCTACAAAATTGTAAAATGACAATTTCCTAATTGGTAACTTGACAATTAGGTGGAATTTAAAACTGAGTAACACCCTGACATTTGAGCTCCAGTATTGACTCTAGCTAATTTATAATAATGTTTATTCTTGCTTCATGCTTCGCATTAACATTTTTGGGCATAATTAGACTTTACAGCGCCTGAATCACTTTAAGATAGACGGGGAAATACCCATTTTATAATGACTCAAGATTTGCAAACAAAAATTATAAAAATCCTATTACAGGATTTGTGGGGATTTCGATTTTATTTCACTTATTTTAGGTTTTCATCACCAAACAAAAATGATTGAAGAGATAACTGAAAATCAGGGAACACTGTAGAGCTGTTTTGTCCTGTTTTGGGGCTCTTCTGCAGATTAACTAATGTGAAATAGTTCTTCAATATCTAACTTCCAACAGCACTGATTTATGACTGTAAATCTATCTGATTTCTACATAGACCATACTGCTGATTGACCAAATCGGGTAAAAAATCTAAGAATAGTAAATGGAAGCGAAGAAAGCAATGATGGCTGTGTCTTCAGCCGTAAATAAAAGATGTATGAACTAAATTTTTCGAAGGGATGTGCAGTTATAGGATTAGTAGTCAAATAGAATAAAAATGAAAGGCTTACGTAAAATTGTCTGAATTTAACGTTGCAAACGTGATTTAGAATGACAAGTGGAATATGTGAAATAATGCCGGGACAGTTCAAAATGAGAATAGTAATAGTAACAACCGGCGTATTAAAGGAAGAGTATACAAATTGAATAGACAAAATGAAAAAATGCTAGAGGCAAGATATGATTAGGGATAACCATACTTTAGCATAGAGGGATTAAGACAATGAAAGTTGAAGGGGTTGAACGAACTCTTTCTCTGCAAAGAGACCTGACTTTTTTGTTTCGATGACTAAAGCTTCAGCAATACAGATGAGTCGGATAAGTAGTGATCTGGGCAAACTTATTTTTGCCTTGTAGATGACTTTAAAGGCAAAGGCAGTGGATATCGGGTGATCATTATCGACCAGATGTTCAATGATCGCTGTTCTCATTGCTCAACTTCCACCTCTTCACAGTCATTCAGGATAGTGTTCTTGGACCCTCTTGGACAAAACTCGAGTCGAACGATCAATACACCTGGCTCTACATGAGCAAGTGAACTTATAAATGCACACAGAGTTGGTCGACTGTGGAACCTTGTCCTTTAAGTTACTGAAAAGTAATGGTTGACTAGAAAACTCTATTCTCAACGATGCAGCAGGGAATGTCCTGTTCAAGGACTGTGAAATCCTTCTTTTAGTTATATCGGAAGCTAAATCACCTTTTAATTCCAAACCCATGTGCAGTGTTTTCTTGGTTTCGGATGATAAGTCACATTTCATAGCATTTTACTGTATATTCTTGTCTATAAAACGTGGTGGAAATCCATTTTCTGTTAGGATTTTCCTTAAAAGATTTAACTCTTCGTCCATAGTATCAGGACTACATATGCGTTGAATGCGAGTGGCAAGCGATAAGATCAGGTTTTGTTTTCTACCGATGGGTACCCAGCTGTAGAAATTTGTCCAAAT